AAGGCTGTCTTCACTGCTGACTTACTGTTCATGGTGGGGAGGGAGCTGGAAGGCTGTCTTCACTGCTGACTTACTGTTCATGGTGGGGAGGGAACTGGAAGGCTGTCTTCACTGCTGAACGTCACTGTTACTGTTACTGTTCATGGTGGGGAGGGACTTTGTGCTGCCAAGATCGTATGTGATTATGAGTAGTGAACATATCTTTTACTCATTAGGGTTTATCTGTAGTCCTCTGACAGTCTGATAGGAATCTGAACCTTGGTGGGTTGGTTAGTGGATTGATGGATTGGTTGAGATGGCCCTCACAGCCCTGGCTGTCCTGGAATAGGACAGGACCAGGGTGACCTTGAGCGCAGTGTGTTGCCTCCAATTGCTGGTATGTTGTGAGGCATAAGATACGCACCACCATGTGCATCTTTACTTTTTAGGCTCTAGCTTCGCTTTGTGAAGTTTAAATTACTTTCCGTACTTTTCTGCATTAGAAATCCCTTGCTTGCTTTTTTAAGTGCTTTGCTTCTGGTTGTGACCTGTATCCACATATCTCAGCCTCTAAGACCTGAGTATTCTGAGAGAACATCCTCTCAGAATACTTTTTGGTTAGAAAAGTGAGACTTTGTAATCTTTATTAAGGTTTATTGTAGCTTTCTTCCTTGCTGCATAGATTCATTCATAGAATTGGAATTGTCAGATAGATGAGCATTTGAAATGAAAGCATTATCAAATTTTCCTTACATATAAAATTACATAAGTTTTATTTTAATAAGGTAGACTATCATTGGGATAGTGCAAATAAAATGTATGACAGCTGTCTCGTAAGGAGAGTAGAGAAGACTGCTATATAAACTTAAAAAATACATTTTTCTTTTTTTCAGTTAGATTATATGTTTTTAGTATTTAAAATATGTGTAAACCTATAGAAGTACTACGTTTATAAAATAAGAACAGATAATGGTTTCTGTTAGAATAATTTTAGACTCATTTTTTCCAACCCTATATCAGCTAAGTTTCTACTTAAATTACACAGGTATTTTAACGATAGACTCACACACTTGTACTGTAATTTTAAATATGTGTATAATCAAGAGAAATAGTTTCAGCACAGTCTTGTGTTCTCTTTTCAGAGACAGATGGAGTCGAACTGGAGCTTTGCAGAAGAACTCTTGAGACAGTCCATCACTGTGCAGGTATGCAGCCCTTCATAGTATAAACAGAACCAAGCAGACAGAATGACTTAAATAACAACTTATTACAAATCTTAGAGTCTTTGAAGGGTCAACTCACAGTAATTCATATTAAATCCTTTAAAGATTTTTATTCTTAACACTGAATTTGTCAGTTAAAGGACAAAGATAATTATCTTAGTTGGTGACTTTGAAAGAATGTATTCAAAATAAGTGGAAGATGCTTTGGAGTTATAAGCTGTTCCTCAGCTGTATGATAGGAAGCCAGGCGACATGATGAAGGAGATAGTCGGTGGTATTGGAAATGCAGCTCTATCCTCCTCACAGCAGGAAGGTGACTTGCCTTGCTGAGCAATTTGTCTTACAGGCTTGAATCGCATCCGCACTGATAACGTCCTCGTTTCTGAGCACTCATTTCATACCTTATCATTTTTCTTTCTGCAGAGCTGTTAATGTAGTGCTTCATGGCCCAGAGGTCAGACTTGACCTCCTTTAAAATAGTTTTAAATGTACTGTGCATCTCATCTTTAAATATGTTGTAGCTCTGTAAAGTTCCATAATGTAAGTAACCCTTTATGGAAGGTTATGGTGTGGAATATTTTTTAATTTAGGGAATAAATTCCTTTTCTGTTAGTGTAGATTATTTAAAACTTGAAGAGGCGTAAATATTGTAATATAAGAAGATGGCTTTGTGTGTGAGTGTAGTTACAGAAGTGATATATTTGGCCATTAAGCCATCCCTCCACACCAAAAAGCTAAATATTTGAAAGCATTGTAAATGATTGAAGTTACATGTGATGTAATGTCTTCTAGTTATTATATGAACCTTACAGTATGAGCTCGTTATTTGGTAGAATACCAGGGAGTTAAGAATGTTAGGAGAGACTTATATTATTTTAAGATATTTCCCTTATTATTATAAAAACTATTTTTTGTTTCATTTTCTTAATTCAGAAATATAGGAAATCAAGGAGTAGTCATGAAATAAATACATAGTTCATTGGCCATTGTCATTTGTATCAGATATTAGATCATCCTTTAATATATTTTTAGAATTTTATGTATGAATATTGTATGTCATCCCCCTTCTGAGCCTTCCCCATTTCAAAATAAATTCATTTTTAATGACTCATAGTTTTGTTCAAACCAAGTACAAATAACTTCAGTAAAGTCTGGATGGCATTAGTTTCTAGTAACAGCTCTCATATCTGAGTCACAATCTGGGAACTTCAGCTTCCTCATTAAAGTGTAATTACTTGTGTACTTAAAATTTTCTTCTCCTAGCATTTTGTTTTTTCTCTTTTGTATTTAATAATTAAACATTTCCCATAAAACTATATGAATTTACAGAATTTTTAGGTCTTTATTATAAACTATTTCTTTTATTTTTATTAATTACAGTTTATTCACTTTGTATCCCCCTGTACCTCCCTCCCTCCTCCCCACCCATGTCCCTCTCCCAGTCCACTGAAAAGGGAAGTCCTCCTCACCTTCCCTCTGACCCTAGTCTATCAGGTCTCATCAGGAGTGGCTGCATTGTCTTCTTCTGTGGCCTGGTAAGGCTGCTTCCCCCTCAGGGGGAAGTGATCAAAGAGCAGGCCAATCAGATGATATCAGAGACAGTCCCTGTCCCCATTACTATGGAGGACACTTGTATACTGAACTGCCATAGGCTCCCTTCGTGGAGGGGTTCCAGGCCATCTCCATGAGTGGTCCTTGGCAGGAGTATCAGTTTCAGAAAAGACCCCAGTACAGGGAATCTTAAGAAAGAAGTGGGAGATAGTAAGACCTGGAGAGAATAGGAGCTCCACAAGTACAGCGACAGATCCTAAAAGTCTGGCACATAAACTATTTCTTACGTAGACATACCCATATTGGTCAGGGACAACATGAGAGAATTTGTCATAAACTCCTTTTTATAGAAGTACTTGCTTTTAATTAATACCCTAATACTTCATATACCCTACTCTCTTTGGATGGTGACTCCCTGTAACTGAAGACTGTGACACTTAAGGATTAGACCAAGGCTGCTTGCTGTTGGGTGCTCTTTTTCGACACTAGATTTCCTTTGCTAATACTGATTTTTAAATACATAAGTGTACTTTGACAGCATAACTGGCAATTTAATGGTGGTAGTTGAAGCTGTTTTTAAGATTTAAGAGGTGTAATCCTTAAAAACAGGTTGGATGACCAAACATCTCAGTTTATCTGGCCTGGGGTTTCAGCCACCAAACCAGGAAAGTCCTGAGCAAAGCAAGATTGACTCTGTCATCTTGAAACTTTTACTAATTGAAGATGCATTCTTTATCACTTTAGGTATTTTCTAAAGTCAAAGTAGTATCTTTCTTGTGGGAGAAATGGTCTTGTAATAATAAGTCTTCTGGATTTTTTCCTCAGGCATTCTTTCAGTGTTATATTACTATAAGAATGTGTGTATTATGTACTATATTATGTAGCATATAATGTATATTGTTACATCACGTTATATTAAATAAGTAGAGGGTACTTCTGGAGTTAAGATCAGTTTTGTGGCTATACATTTAGCTGGGTTGAGTGATGCATGGCTGTAATCCTAGCACTCAGGCAGAGACAGGAGAATCTCTGACTTTGAGGCCAGCCTGATCTACAAAGTAATTCCAGGTGAGCTAAGGCTGCACAGAAAACCCTGTCTTCAGATACCAAACAAAGCAAAAGAATCAATACATTTGAGGGAACTCAGAAGCCTATACCCAGGCTTTGAGAAGTGTCTGTCTTCTGGAGAACCTCTTTTATTCCTCATGCTTAAAATGTATATTACAAAGAAACATCACTAGTGCATCCTTTTTATATATATTTACTAGTTTGATTGTATGCTCCTGAAAGATCAGAATCTGACGGTGTTCTTGCATTTTTGTGTAAGCTCCAGCAGTGCCAGAGGCCATTTGCTTCGGATTGCTAGGTATGTTTGAAAAATAGACCTTGCAAACATTAGCAAATTTCTAATAAAAGTGGTAGAAATTCCACTGCAGTTCTATTTAGGCAAATAATGTTTCAGATCTTTTTTTCTTAGCCAAAGAGGATCTTCCAGATAAGACTTTCTAGATAATAAAGAGACCACAAATTATTTAGTTTTTTTTTTAATCTCAGTAGTTCAAAACTTCCAAATATTCTTTTTACTGATGATCTTATTTAATTAATATTTGTTAATCCTGATGTTAAATATTTGTTTTACTTTTAGAAAAGCATTTTTTTTTCTTTTGAAGAAGGGTGCTTTTAGTTCTACACACTAGTTTTTAAGTATTGTTTCCTTTTTTTTTTTTTTTTCGTTTTGAGACAGGGTTTCTCTGTGTAGTCTTGGTTGTCTTGGACTTGCCTTGTGAGTTCAGGCTGGCCTTGAATTCAGAGAGATCTCGTTGTGTCTGCCTCCCAGACTGCTGAGATTACAGGCATGCGCCACCGTGCCCTGCTAAGTACTTCATTGTTTCTAAGCACAGAAAAAATATCTCATTTTAAAAATTTAGAAGAAAAAGCATGCCTAAATTAAAATTATTTTATTATTAAGTATGCTTTAGTTTGCTTATAATGTGGTTAAGGCTGGACAGTGGGATATTAATCATCAAATTACTAATTTAAAATAATGCTTCTTGATTAGAAAGATCTTGATAGGACTACTGAAATTAAATGATGTCAGTCCCAAAGTTAGATTTAATTAAGCATCCTATAGTAAGTTGCCAGTTAGTTTGAAAACAAATCTTATATTGATTTTGGGTATTTATAACTATAAAGAAGACATTTTTTTAAATAAAAGTCAAAAGCTTTCTGGAACAAGTATAGTGATTATAAGAGAGAGATAATGGGTACAGTCATTAGATAGCTCTCATTCTGTCTCTCTTACACACACACACACACACACACACACACACACACACACGCACACATATCCCTTAGATAAGATATTCACAGGGCCTGTTAAAATCAGGAGTTGAGTAGCATGGCATTGTGTGTCAGACCAGCTGTAAGGCCATGTGGGAAAGAGCCCACAGGGCTTCTGGTCTGTTTTTGTTTTTGTTTTTGTTTTAAATATGGTGCAGTGGCATAGGTTTGCATGTTCTTATTAAGTGTGCTACGTAGATTTGGCGCTTAAAACTTGGCCCATAAAATGTGTGTGTTTACATAGTCAAATTGTGAATCTACTTCATTTATTGTGGTCTTCAGGAGTCAGCATTTAGGTTAACAGGTATTTTCCTTTGGCAGGTAACAAAATTCAGTTAATGCTAATGATAGTCTTGTGCTGATAATCTTTGGTTATGATGTTGTTTGTGTTTACATTTACCCCTAAGAGACATGGGCTTGGAAGGGTTAGGCTGCTTGAGTAGTTGGCTGGCTATAGGGAACGTTAGGTTAGAATTGGCATCTTCACATACAGTTTCCATATGTGCTTAGAAAGCACCTCTGTGTTATATAGTGTGTTTGTTACTTCCCTATGCAGAGTATGATGAGGAGCCTCAGGCACAGAAATGAATGAACTCAAGTGTTTTTAGGTGTTTTCACTGTGTCTCTTTTGTGGTTATGAATTTGAGCAAATATGTCTACTGCTTCCTCTGTTTCTGCCATGCTGTGTGTTCTTGCCTTAATTGTGTGGACCTAAAGATGAAAAGTCTGTTCTACCTGCCATTCATCTATGCACATATACTTTTTCTTTGTTAAAATTAACCCTTTTTTTTTTTTTTTACCTTTTTAAAAGGTTTATTTTTTATTCATGTGTAAATTTGTGTGAGTTTATATGCACTTTGTGCATGTGGATGCCCGCAGATACTAGAGAGTTTTGGATCCCTAGAGCAGGAATTAAGCCAGCTAGCAGCTGCCTTCTACTGGTGCTGGGAACTGAACCCAGGTCTTCTCTAAGAGCAGTGTGTGCTTCTAAGTATTGAGCCATCTCTCCAGCCCAGAACATGTACTTTTTAACAGAATTTAAAAAAAAAAAAAGATGAAAAATGCTTTAGAATAAGGGAACAGTTAAATTT